GTGTGGAAAGAGTTTCAGGAATAAATGTAGCCTCAATGCTCACATTAAAAAACAACACACTCGAGAGAAGCCTGTGGGAAGAGCTTCTCAAAAATAGAAAATCTTAAGATTCACATGAAATATGTGTGGTATCATGTAAAGAAACCCACATGAGATTTCACTCAGGGGAGAACTATTTCATATGCCTGCCATCATTGTGCAAAGAGTTTCACAGTCAAAGGAAACCTGAAGACTCACAAAGGAGTTCACACTGGAGAGAGGCCTTTCAAGATCATTCTGGAAATAAAGTGTGACCGTGACGAGGTTTACCAAAAGAAGAAATTTTAAAAATCCCCAGCATATTCCTTCTGGAGAAAAGCCCGTTAACTGTGATCAATGTAATACATTTCTTTTGACATTACACCCGATAGATGCACCTAAGAAGTCATGAAAATGATACTGTATTTTTGTGCTTTCGGGAGAAAGCTTAAAACGGCCCTACAATTTAAAAAAGAAAATAGGCATCTGTTTGAAATTTTGTTGTTTTTGTTAACTTTTTTTATACTTGTCTTGAGGCTTTTTGTTTTTTTAAATAAAGGATTTCCTGTATCCACACCTGGCTCCTTTGCTATAGTTTCAAACATTACAGTAGACACGCTAATTTCTATTGTATGGAGACATTGCGCCGCGCCGTTTACTGGTAACTTTAAATCAAAATATTACATTTCTGTCTTACTGCAAAATGTAACTGATTATAAATAAAATTGCGAACTGCATAGTGAGCATTGCATTGAATTATTTGATGCATCTTTAGCAGTGTTGGCCATGTTACTTTAAAGAAGTAGTTGATAATAGTTACTAGTTTCTTCTCACAAATAGTAACTGTTAGTAACTGAGTTACATCATTATAAAAGTAACTAATTTACCAGGGAAAGTAACTATTGTTACTTTTTTTTTAAATGTTCAAATGTGTTAAATAACTTGGTTGCCCCCAATGTTAAATATGTTGAATGAAATGGACTCTAAATAGAATAAATTATCATTATAAAACATTGTACACTAATCTACACTATTTTAATGTTGCTGTGTGGGACAATGTGAGAGACACCGGTCAATAAATATATTATCTTTAATATAGTTGCTTAATAAAACAATAGATGGTTTAGAACTTTTAACATTTATTGCACAGGCCACAACTGGCCAACAAACAAGTCTAAAAATAAATTATACTTCACCTTTGGTAGCTGAGCTCACGTTATCACCTGCATTCTTAGCCACAAATTTTGTGGCGGCATGTGATGATGTGTGGTGCTTCATTAGATTAGAATTACTTGCCACCGACATGGAGAGACTCTTTCTTCCTGGGCATGAGTTGCACGTTACATAAACATTGTTGCCTTTCATTTCAACGAGGGAGACGTAGTGCTTATACTTCTAGTTTGTGAACGCTACCTTTGAACTCGTTGGACTTGGTGTGTGCAACTGTGCATGTGCTTGTGTGTGAACACCTGCACTACTCTGCCTCTGGTTGGCAAACAATGGAAATTTGCTCTGCGTAAGCACTCCCCCCCCCAGTAACGGTAATGGCGTCGTAATGGGGGAAACAGTAATTCGTTTGATTACTCGTTACTAACAAAAGTAACACCGTTAGTAGTGCCGTTATACCCATCACTGATTTTTAGTGAGAGAATGCACAGGTAAACATGTTTTCAGTCTAGACTTAATTATGGATACTCTTGGATAGGGTTGGGTATCGTTTGTTTTTTTACGACACCGATGCCAAATCGATACTTTTAAAATGGTATATGGTTAATCAGAATCAGAAAGAGCTTTATTGCCAAGTATGTTTGCACATACAAGGAATTTGTTATAGTGTCACAAGCTTCCAGTACACGGAGACAACAACAACACACAGATAATAAAAGTGAGATGTGAATAAAATACACATGTGTCACGTGCTTGATGTTAAGAAGGGATGATACCGTAACATTTAGGTGGGACAGCTGTTACTGGGTGTGGTGCGGATCGAAGACAATACTGAAATGTTCCTTAGAAAAACTTTACTGAGCGTTTTGAGAGAAGATACAAGTAGTTTGGTCTAACAAAGTAACCATAGGAAAGAAAAAGGAACAAAAACATGAGTGTCACCCAAATTAAAGAAATAAACAAAAAACACAACACTCCTTATAAGTAACCTCTAAAGTAACTACCAATATAAAGTATGAAAATAAAACCGGAATCTTCAGCGTATGCGATGGCCAAACTAAACTCTCATAAACTAAAAACAAAAATACAAGAGTGGCATAACACTCACAAGCCTAATCTAACAGAATATAAACTAACCTACTGAAAAAACAAAACAAGCCATATAACAACGACCGACTAAATATTCTGATCATCACAGAAGGGAAAATGTGATGGAGTAGCTGGACACACCAACATGCATTCTTAACGTTAACTAGAAACGTAATCAGGCTGGAACTCTAGAACGGAAGTTCGCGATATTTTTCACAAAGAGTTCAATACAAGTCAGTAGCTAAGAATCAAATCTCTAAATAGATTAAAACACACAGCAAGATACATGTAACATCAGGAGGCCGCGTTAGAGCACGAGGTACGCTGGCATGGCGCACCCACACACAATCAACTCGAGTCCTCAAATACAGCTGGCACGTCACCCGATTGGCAAAACATCATGACGTCATAATGATGATTGTCAGTCACGTCAGCCAGTAAACACCGACCTAGAAGCGGAGCAACAATAACAAAAGGACAGGAGAGCAAAAAGAAACATAATATACACAAAACACACGTGGAACTTAACACATGCATAAATATAAACCACAAAAAAAGAATAAATTGTAT